AAGTAGAGTAGAAAATGATGGAGGGAAGACAGAATGTAGAAAGTGGGAGGAGAGAAGGGGAAGAAAGTGTCGGATAAGGTATAAATATAGTGTATGGAGAGCAGAAGGGCCAATAACTGGGTTTTTCTTTTCTTTTTTTCTTTGGTAGTTGATGGTAAGATGAATTGATGTAAGTACTTAATAATACAACTTGAGATGGACTATGTAATAGTATACATGTGATTATATGCTATGAAAATAGAAAATAAAAACTTTTTATGATGGTAAAAGAAAATGTTGAAGAATTCTCTGGAATATTCTGTTCGCAGAACAGCAATTTTTGCATACATCTATGAACTGGATGGAGATAGAATGCATTTCGTTCAAACTTGTTCTAGAAACTAAAATCAATATGATAGATAAGATAGTTAATGTAGATCAATATTCTTTGAAAGTTCTCATTGCAGAAATAGAAATAAGTCTTCCTGGAGGAGAAACAAGGCATTATCTGTCTACGTTTCCATCTAAAACCAGAATCAATCATTAATGCTAGGTTGCTATAAATTTCCAGAACATTAGCACAAACCAAGTGGTTCAGTACATGTCTTCAGGCAAATTGATTCTTAAACTGTTCTCACTATATTCTTTCTTTCTTCAGTTCGCAATGAATCCTTTTTATGAAACTAATTCTCCAATTCGATCCACCGCTTTTGATAGAAAGGTTCAGTTTCTTGGGAAGAAGCATCTTTTAAGTTGAATTATTCCATCTGAAACATGACGTGAAAAACCTATTGAGTGAAGCAACAAAGAACAAAGTGTTTTAAGTTTTGCAAAGCAAGAAAACTTCAGAAGTCCAGCAATTTCTCTATCAAACCTGACAACTTTAAATGTGTGTCTATACATGTATATATATGTAAATGCCAAAATAAATGCTAATATGTGTCTTGGAATTTTCAAGCACCATTTACTAAAATGCTTGATAGCATAGCATAGAACACATTTTCTGGGAAGTTTTTATTGTAGAAGAGTTTCAGTTCAGGGCTAATGTATGAAGGTAATTCGATATCCAACTATGAGTTGAAAAAAGTATTGATGTGTGCATGAAAAACTAAGTACTTCTAGTCATGAACAAATTTAATCTGCTTTTAGTTTGATAAGCTAATACAGATGGTCCTCAAGTTACAACTGGTCATTTAGTGACCATTCAAAGTTAGGATGGACACCCTTCCCCAAAATTTACAGGCCAATTCTGAAGTTCTGAGCCCTCGAGCAACATGCCTATATTTCAGTCACTTGACAACTAGCCTCATTTATGACTGTTTGCTGCATCCTGTGACCACAATTTACTACATTTTTGCCAAAACCCCACATTGCCAGTTTTCAGCAAAAATGCCCCATATTGAACAATGTTCACTTAATAACTTCCCTGAATAAAGGTTGTAAAATCAAGTCAGACATGTGCTTGCCTTATGACCGCCACAATGTTCCATTACATCAGTAAGTTGAGTATTTGTGCGTGCAGAGGGTGGGAAAGTGAACACGTGTGAAGCTCTTTGTGCAAGCAGGGAGTACATGTGCACTTGCACAAATAGAGCTGCATGTGCATGCATGCTTGCCCACTGCTCACATCAGACCAGAGGTAGGTTGCTACTGGTTCGCACTGGTTCGGGTGAACTGGTAGTGGAAATTGGCACTTGCTCGCCAAACCGGTAGGAATGGCAAGTTGGACATTTCTGCAAATAGGTTCCCTGGTTGTTGTGGCTGTTGCTGGCTTGGTTTTTAATCATTTTTCATGTTCTGCGCATGCACAGAACAATTTACTCTCCACTGCACCATTCCCTCCTCCCCCCCACCACCAAAGGTGGAAAGGTTGGAGACTACTGATCTAGAGTGTATTTTCATATATGACTTTGAATGCCACTTTCTCTTTTCTCTGAACATATTAGTAAAATAATATCTTCAGACAAATAAAATTGCATACATTTATGTAAAGCAGGAGGTGGTCACGAGGTTGCTTGGCTCTACTTTAGGCACATTAATTTTTTTTTTTATTCCATCCTTATTATAAGTAACTCAGCAGCAAACATACATAATACTTCCTCCTATTTTCCCACAACCCTGAGGTGAACTGGGCTGAAGGAGAGTGACTAGCCCAAAGTTCCCCAGTCATCTTTCATGCCCAAGGCAGGATTAGAATTTAGTCTCCTAGTCCTTCATACTTTCACAAGCATAGGTTATCTCAAAAGGAATGACATCCAGAATTTGCAAGTGGCAAACTGGCAGCTCTTGTATTTAAATATTAATTTGTGTGCTTAGGAATGCAGATCCATTAACTTTTACATAGCTTTCCTATAGAGAATATTTCACTGCTTAAATGGACTGGATGATGTAATAGCAAATTAATTGCTGGAGGATAAAAAAGTTGTTACATTGTTTGGTATGCTACAATAATTTTGTTCAGTGTTTTCTATAATGTCCATTAAGTCTTTGAACCCATTAAATAACTGTCAAACTATTAAGATATAGCTTGAATGCATTGCCGTTTACAAAATTATTTTGTATTTATAAACAAATTTAAATGGCTACCCATTTGTTCAGTGAATCTCTAATATATACAGCTACTATTGCCAGTTCACTGAATAGTTCAGACAAATCCTTAAATACCTATCTTAACTATTTCACTGATTTTTGAATTCATATGTATCTTGTAGTACTTTCACAGGCATTCTGGAAAATACTCCTTAAATGTAAAGGTACAGTTGCACAAATGACTTAAATGTCAGTTATATGTTTGTACGGTGTAGTGCAAATATTTAATATACAGTACATTTTCAGGAAACAGTAATTTTTAAAGAACAGAATGTATTTAGTTAACATACTTCCAGATTTACAGTATATCTGTAAGTTCTAGGAGCACAGAGAAGAATACATTACCGGCTGCCAGAGGTTCAACAGTTCAATTCTCACCAGCTCAGGGTTGACTCAGTTTTCATCCATCCGGAAGTTCTCCAGCTGAACAGACGAGGGGGGGTGAGTGTGAGCTCTCGAGTCTCACATGAACCCTGTCTGGCAAACCTATTCTGAGATCCTTTTTGAATCAGAACTCCCCCTGGAAGGGGGCGAAGAAGGGGCAGCATCTCATCAGACCCAGGGGGAGGCAACAGGTCCCTCGCAGGTCGGAGATTTGCCCTCTGAATCAGAGCAAGGGCGGCAGCATGGCAACATGGCTGCACAAGAAGCTGACTTCCAGCCAAAGCAACTGAACAGGAGTGTGAGGACGAGATGAAAGACCGGTAAGAAGATTCATTTAGCCCACATTCATAAATCAAAACTTGGAAAAGGCAAATAATCTTGAGAGTACAAATAATATTAATAGACAGGTCTGGATTTTGGCAAAAGAAAAGAAAGAAAAAGAAAATGGAGTATTGAAACACTAGCCCCCCAAAAGCCATCTGTTTGAAAGAATCCTGACAGAAAGAGAGAAAGCAGAGAAGTGACAAACCCACTCAAATGCAAACTCTAAATTTGGTTTTGGATTTGAAATAGAAACCAAACATTTGAGGTGATTTACTTTGTCCGAATTTCTTCCAACTAATATATCTTAAGCAACTCCAATTAATGAGAGGTGGAATGCAACAAGGGAGAAAAATCAAGAAGAAAAACACTATTTTCTCACTGATAACTGATAACCCAATCTTGTCTGTGCAGGAAGTTTTAATTAACCAACTGCCATAAATCAGAACTTTGAAAAGCAGGAGATGAGAAACATACCCAAGTTTGGCTGCATGCAAGTTTGTTCCAATTAATATATTTTGAGCAACTATAACCAATGAGAGGTGGAAGGTAGCAAGGGAAAAAATAACAAAATCAAGAACTGGGAAAATACAAAGTTTTTTTCTTCTTCTTTTCTGCAAAAGACCAAGATGGCTCCAGTTTCTCTTCTGTTTTCACATTAGTTAAATTGGCTAAATTTGAGGTGGTCCAGAACTTCAAAATAAGATCTGTATAACTAACTGCAATTTTGGAACTGGACATTAAGGAACAACCAAAGACCAAGATGGCTCCAGTCGCTCTTTTCCACAGCAGCTGAATTAAATAAATTTAAGGTGGACCAGAACTCTGAAATAAGAACTGTATAA